TTTTTCTCTTATTGACTGAGAGGAGAAGAGAAGAAACTCTATATATATATATATATATATATATATATATATATATATATATATTTATGTATGTGTATATATATATATTCAGTGTTGCAAGTTTGCTCTGAGTTTCAACTCCTGTTGAGGAGTTCTTGAATGTGGAGTTTGGTACAAAAGTTGTGCCAATGTGCACTGTTTGCCTTTTTGAGAGGTGTGAGGTTTTATTTCAGCATGGTTTGCACGATGGGGCTGTTTTCAAGTGTTCCAACCTTTGCAGTGAAGCAGATTTTTGGTTTTCAGACAAAAATGCCTAAAGCTCTTTGAAAATCTATACTCAGAATCTGCAAAACTTAGTAAGTTCCAGCTTGGACTTGATAGTGAATCTCTGTTGGCAATTCTCTTAGGGCAAGGGAGGACTAGCCAGGGAAACTTGTTATTCAGGCTGTCTGCAGCACACCAGTCCTTCTAGAGACAAAAATCAGACCTGTGCTGTTACACTTGCAAATAATGTTAAGGTTTGGCTTCCTGGAGAAGTGCCTCTCCTTCCAGCACCCTGCTGGCTCTGCAGTGACTTAGCAAATCGGTACATTTATATAATTTGATAGCTGGCTTCTTGCTGAGCTATATTGTACTCTGAAAATTCTGAGTCATATGCCTTGACATCCTAGCACTTTCCTTGGAAGCCTTAGAAATCATACATTGGACATGGTACTGGGCCTGCAGCGCCGCTTGTCCTTGAGACGCTACCCTGGGAGTGACCGCCTTTGCCAGAGGCTGGCAAGGCAGGAATCACCCCAGCATGGAGATGCTCCTGTCTTTGGGGAGCAGTGGGCAGCCAGGGACAGTCCTGTCCTCATGGAGACAGTCTTGACACAGCTGGGGACAGTTTCTCCACGCTTCTGTGAGTTGCTGGAGCTTGAGACGTGGGGCACAGCAGTGGAGGCTGAGGTTCAGCTCTCTGGAGGGGCTGCAGAGCAGAGGTGAGAGGAGGTGGTGGTGATGCTGTCCCTCTGGGAATCTTGCAGCATTTTGTTCTCACTGCTGGTAGGGGAAGCTCTGCAGGCCATGGCCCAAAGTTTTGAAGCTCTTGGTGGAGGTTGCACAGTTTGATCTCTGTAGGCTGAGCTTTCTGTTGCACGTGGAGTGAGTTGACTGCAGACCCCATCTTCTCTGACGTATCACTGTTCCAGCTGCTTTAAAGTAGTCACACTCACTGTGCTGCTGGCAGGACTAGCTGGAGGCCTTCTGTCTCCCTGCTTAGCAAAAGGTGACTGTTTCTTGTCTCAGGAGTGGTGTAAAGTGCCTTACTCTCTTCTGGCTCTAGATTCCAGAGACACAGCAGTACTGCACATGTACTGAATTCAGTGCTGCCGTTCAGATCAGGAGTATCCTGACAACTCCATCTTTGTGCTGCAGACATGTAAGGCAAACGAGGTCATTTTGAGCCTGGAAACAGGGAAATAATCATTGCAGTAAAGTGCTTTAGAGGATGTTTGTGGCAGACCAGGAGAACTCCATCGAGCTGTTGTGCGAACCTGTGCTCCTGGAGCAGGCCTGTGAGGTGTGAGCTGGTGGTTGAAGCTTTAGGACTTGCTTTGTTATTTGCTTTGTAGCTTCTTCTCATCTTCCTTAATCTTAGCAAAGTGAGCTGTACCCCAAAACACTTGTTTGGGTGAGCCAGGGTAAGGGAAGGAGGAATTTCTTGTCTGTAAATGCGTTTCTCTGTCTTAGATCCACCAATCCGACAACCCCACTAACGTAGTCGGTCCCGGGCTGGGCAGGTGCCTGGGCTGCCTTGTCTCTAACAGCATTAGCAGTAATTGGGATTTCATTCAAGCAAGAAGTAGATACACCAAGCTGAAGATGATTGGCTGCTCTCTTTTAACAGACAAGTCTGAGAAGGAAAACCCATTCGAATCCCCTTTCATTCTGGATTGGTGGATCTGAAGCCCAGAAACAAAGTTTCAGGTAAGAAGTCACCCTGTACTATATCTTGCTGCTTCTGCTTAGATGAGTTTGTCTGCACATTCAGTCCCTCGCTTTAACTGCTTCGTGTCCCCTGAGTGTTATGGCACAGGGAATCAGCTGCTGTTCTTACAGCCAGACAGGGCATGGCCAGGAGGTACAGGAGCAGTACTGCAGGGAAATGCCAGTCTGCTGTGGAGCACAGGCCTGGGAGCACGAGGTGAACTTGTATGTGCAGGAATGGGCACGGAGCCGTTCGCTGCCGCATCCTGCTTCTGGAATGGGAGAGCAGCCTCGCCAGTGACTGCCTTGGGCTCCCCGTGGAGTTCAGGTTGTCCCAGCTCTGAGTTCTGTCCCTGTCCTCAGAACCCTGTCTTCTGTCCATCAGAACTGGAGAGAACTCTGGTTCTTCCTAGGACAGTTTCCTTTAGCTTTTCCTGCTGAAATGCCATTTGAAATTCTGTTCTGGGCAGCACTTGGAGTCAGTGTCCTGAACCCTTCCTGAGATGGCAGTGTGAAGGGCTGGTCCCAGCTGTTTTGGGGCAGGGGTAGGGCAGGGGTGGCAGAAGGAACCTCACAGTGGGTTTATTTCAGTGAGGGAGAGCAATTGTACCTGAAGCCACATTGCTCTGAGATTTGGGATGCCTACAAAAGGCTACAACAGGTTCTCTTGGAGATGGGTTTGGAAGGTGTCTGTGTGCCTCAGGAAGGCAAGCTGGGTCCCTGGCTGGCAGGAAAATAAAATTATGTGAGTTCAATATCATATGTGGTGTGAATGGGAGAGCTGCACCTCTCAGTGCCCAGCTTTACTGTAAATTGGTGCTTTGATGGACTTGGCAGCTTATTTGCAAAGTCATATGAAACAGTGTGCCTGGATTCCTGTGGACAGTAACAGCAGTAAGGCTCAGCCTTGGGTGTTCTCCTTTGTAGGCAGTTACTGCAGTGAATGCTGAGGCCTCAGTATTTAACCTCTTGTAGCAGAAACTCCTGTAGGTGCTCTTGATCTCATGCGTGGTTTTAGTTCTGCGTTTGTTTTGCTGGTGTGGTATTTTGTGCCAAAGTTATATTTGAATTTAATTGATAAGTACATTTGTAATGAATTACTTGTGCAAACGGTGCTGTTGTTTCCTGGTTTGATTTTTCAAGTAATTGAATTGTATTTGGTTAGGGTGGAGAAGTCTGTTTTAGTGTGACTCTTTAAACCAGAGGGAGAATCTAAGGGAAATACTAACCTTAGACTGACACACTTCTTGCATTCTCATCTAGTATCAAATTGAATTTGTTCCACACACCCATTAGACTCACTTTGGAGTTAGAACTGTAAAATAACATCTTCTTGTGGAATATTTGCTGTTAAGGGTGTGCCTTTTTCTAAAATGAGAGACCAGGGAGGCAGAAGTGAACTTGGCATCTTCAGTGATGAAACTGAAAAGAGGAAATAATTTAAAATACCCTGAGCAGGGAAAAAAAGAGGAAGCATAAATGAGTGCTCCTGCTGATCGAGATCCTCAATGTTATTTAATATTGCTTAACTCTGGAAACATCAGCCAGCCCTATGAAGGCAGCAGTAGAGCTGAGCAGGATGGAGGCTTTGCTCTTTCCTGTGTTTGAATGTTACATTCCAGAGAGTGTGGTATGGGGCAGCTCTCAGAGCTGTGTCAGTGTTCATGTGCAGCCCCTGCCTGGCAATCCTGGGCTTGTTCCTGGCAGCCCAGGCTCCACAGGTATCAGAACTTGTCGAGTGCTTCTACCCTGCCTTGGCTGTTACGGGATTTATTGTTAGCTCTGTTAGGCCTCAGCTTCAAAAACCTAATGCAGAAAGGTCTGAGACAGCTTTTAATGTGTTAGCCACACTTTTTGCTCTGTTTGACACCCTGCAAGTTTCTCCTGTGGGATTGGCAGTGCTCCTGTGTCAGTGTTCCTCATTCAGGATTTGCCCTGAGCTGCTGGCTGTGTGCTGGAGATGTGTGTAAGCCCCTGTTCTGCTGCAGGAGAAAGTGTTTTGCTTTAGAAATGGCCTTTTTAGTGAAACATGGGGTGTTAGTGCAGAAAGGTGTATCCCACAGCTGCGGGAGTTGGGTGCATGAGGGAAGCAAGGGCTAATCTAAATGCTGTGTATTTTGGAAAATTGAGATTATTTCAGTTAATGCTCAGAGTGACTTATGCAAACATCTTAGGATTTTCTTCCCAGTCCTTTGTATCTTCTTGAAATCGAGCAGCTGCATCTGAGTCTTATCCTGATGAATAAATTATAATGGAGTAAGATGGTTATTCTATTCAAAGAAATAATTTAATCTTCTCTCCACTGAACCCATATTCCTTTTGTAGCATTGACTGTGTGTAGCAAACACACACTTTGATCTTCAGGAGCAGAGTGGGACAGCGTTATCCGTCAGCTTCCTGTGAATTCAGTGTCCTATCTAGAGCATCACTGTGGTAATGAGGAGAATTTCTCTGACCAATTCTTTTCCCTTGTCTTGCTTTAAATTTCCCGATTCCTCACTTAGTGTTTTTCCCCAAATGCAAGAGCTTATGTGCCGATCTCGAATGGCTGTTGGAAGGTTGTCCCATTGAGCAGTTTTTATTGTGAATGGCAATGATTTGGCTAAATTGATTTTCCCAGTGGCACTGTGACTCAGCTGTCGGTTACCTATTTTTTTAGAATGATCCGATAGTAGTAAAAGAATAATCAAAAAATTTTCACAAGTAAAAATGAGTTTTCCACTCTGTGGGTATTTATTTTTGACAAATTCACTTTTGCATTTGTAGCTCACGGAAGAGCAGAAACAAATGCAAGAGTAAGTTACATCTAAAACATCTTTGTTGACCTGAGAGTCCAGTTGTGGCACGCACATGTGCACCTCCCTGCAGAGGAGCGTGTTGTGTGGATGGTACTCCAGCAGCCCTCCGAATCCCCGCGGCCGGCGAGGCCGCGTTTGGCCGTGGGAAGGGCAGTGACGCGATGGCACCGGTTCCAGCAGGCTGGTGCGGAGCCCGCGGGCACGGGGAGCTCCCCGGGCACAGCCTGGCTGCGCAGGGCAGCGCTCCCAGCGCTCCTTTGGCCGGGCACTCGTGTCTGTGCCCCCAGAGACGTGCGGGGACCGTCCCCTGGCAGCTGCGCCGTCCCCGCGGGAGCTCGTGGCGCTGCTCCCTGCATGTCCACACAGTGTTCACACAGACCCTTGGATGTTCTGCTTTCCCACCTGTGCACACTCGGGACACTTTCCCAGGCCAGGGCTGCACCACTGCTCTGCTTGGCACTGTCTGAGTGAAGCCCTAACGGGAAAAGCACCAGGTAAGATCTGGAGGAAATCCCAGCCTGCAAACTGGGAGGGAGTTGGTGTTGGCTGCTGTTCCTGCCCAGTGTAAAATAATACTGAAGGCCTTGAAACAGTGATACTGCTTGTATTTTTCATGTCTTAGTGTGGTTTATGCTGATTTTTGAGGAGATCTGAGCTTGCCGTTAAGTTGGAGGTGGGAGCATAAAGCTTTCCCAGACTGTCAGACTGCCCTCAAATCCAAGCTGCCTTTCAGAGCACTCCTTGGGCTGCATTAAACTGAGCCCACGGCCATGGAGAAGGGGTTTCAGTAGCACCACTTACCCTTAAAATTATCAATATTGAATGTTGATGGAAAAAAAGAAATACCAATGGTGTCAGTCCATGCCTAAATCAAAGAAAAACTAAACAAGAAAACCCAAAGGTGAGTAGCATGTGAGTTTCTTATAGCTAAAAACCTGAAAAAAATTCACAGTGAAGGTTGAGGTTATTCAGTTGTACCTTTTTTGCATATTTTTGCCTTAAGACCAGGATTTCCCAAACTATAAACACACCAATGAATTTGGATTCCCTAAATTATCTTGTATAAATAAAATGAATGCAGTGCAAAAGTCCGAGGTCATAATTTGAGTATTTTATAAGATGTGCAGTATAAGTCTGGGTTATGTAAATGCTGTCATTCTTGATTATGACACTGCAATATTGCCATGCCTGGGTTGCAAAGGTGTTCTGATTCCATCAGGGCACAGGCTATAGGCATTGCTTGAGCAACTTAATGGGCCAGGTTTTTTTAAGGGATACAAAAGTGTGCAGATTTCTGTGTGACAGTATCAGATGCACTGAAAGAAACCATTTCTGGGCATTTTACACTGCTTTAACCAGGCTGTGCTGTAACCTGGGTAAAGTCCAGAGTAAAGGAAAACTTTGCATAGTTCAGGGCCCAAAAGGGTGTTTTTTATACCTCCATCCTAAAAGTTCCCAGCTACAAATTTGGTTTATTGGATGCACACTGCTGTGTGCTTTGCTGTTAATAAAAGAAGTTCTTAACATTTGAGTCCTGAAGACATTGAAGCATCTTCCCTTTTTACTGAGGATTTTCAGGTTTCACTGGGAATGCAGCATTTTGTATAGGCTGCTTAAATTTGAGATTTAAGATTGAAACATAAAGCTTGAAATGTAATTCCTAGGGCTAGACCACCAAAGCAGTTCTTTGTGTATGGAATTAACATCAATCATCTAATAATAAAATTACAGTACTAATCTTCACAAGCACAAAGCATTGAAGAGGTCAGAATGAGGATTTCTGTGTCTGTTCCCTCCTTGCCCTGGAGCTCAGAGCCCCTCTCAGCTCTGCAAACAGAACCTGCAGGTGATCCACAGCCCTCAGAATGTGAGGCAGTTAGAGCTCTGCATTGCTAATTACCTTATTCCTTAAAATCTGAGTTTCACTTGGCCTTACCTTAACCTGTGCAGTTCTGTTCTCTGCGTTCTCCTTTAATTCTGTGCCCGTCATCCATGGGCACTTTCCCCTTCCCAGACTTTATTAAATAGAGCTGCACCTCCTGGGCTCCTGGGAAGAAGGGCCAGTGCAAAGTGAAGCCTTTGGAATATTGTTAAGTTTTTATTCATGATGGGGTCAAGCAGTAACATGTCAGGGAAGCACACAAATATTTGCACATTCCTGTTTCGGTGTGAAGTGGGACACAACATTGAATTTGTAGCATT